ACTGATAAAGCCAATAGAAAGCGAGCAAGTGTATATTCTCGTTTTTAATGCTCTGAGAGTATGTAACTATTAAATTCTCTGAAAGTATGTTACCACATTTATGGTAAATGAACCGTAACAGAATTGTGCATGCTACGTCTAATGTGTGAAAACGAAGCTTTTGGTGTGGCTATAACACGCATTTTGTGGCATTGGTGTTAATCACAAATGAGTTCATCATTTAAGTATGACTAACAAAATCAGGAGGGGAAGAAATTAAGTAGGCTAGACGTGGTTGTCAGCAGCATAATGGCAACAGGTAAGAAACTATTTTTTTACAGATAAAATAGGTGCACACTGCTATATACGTCGTAATTGTATTCCGTGAATTGTATCCCATGGGTTTTATCGAATAGTTTGACTTCATGAAGTAATTTACAGACTTAACTCGTGCATTTACATAAACTAGCTTAGAAATGCAGTGTATGTACATTATGTGGCATTTAAATAAAGATTTAAAATAATGGCAATCAATTGAAAGTCACTGATCATGACACAATGCGCTCGTCAATTGTTTGTATACTTCCTGTCGCAACTCAAAAAAACACGCAGGAATTTTTAAGTAGTGATGGAATTTTACCACCTACGACTCGTAGACTCGTGACACCATGCCCGCAGAACATTTATCTATGCAAAATGTTTTGCATGAAATACATTTCACTTCCTAGTATGTCCACGTATATATAGAGGCTGCGTGTCGGTCATTTGACTGTGTTGAAAACCCCAATCAATAAATCATGGTCACTCTCCTGATCTTCACTTTCCTGCTGAATCAAGGTATTCACATATATATTACTCACAGTAAGATTGGTTTGCATTATAAGTTTTTTTTTCATGTAACTGCTAAATTATTTCACCAGGAGTGTTTGTTACTCGCATGTTTTTCTTTCCACAGCATTTGTCTCGGCTCAGACTTGTGGTTCTTCTGCGATTCCTCATAACCGCATTGAGGGTGGTAATGAGGCCACTCCTCACAGCTGGCCTTGGCAGGTATGAGATCAATTCAAAATTTCAGGATTGTGACAGTATAATGAGTTTCTTAGATGTGAAGTTCTGCATTCACACCCGGGATGTAGACAAACAATAGTGTTCTTGGGCTACTTTTTTCAAACATCATCACGCTGATCCCTGCGTATTGGTGAAGGTGGAGTACATAGACATTCGAACATAGAAACAGTACAGTGGGTTACAATTGTCTCTTTACAGCTCTCTCCGATTATAAACAACACGGTACAATTGACACATTATGGAAATTTGCCAGCCAGTTTATACTCACAGTTGAATATTGATTTACGTTCTTATTTGACCTTGAGACAACACAACATCTTATTTTCATGGGACAGCTAACTCGAATCAACTCAGTCAACCCGAGTTGACCTAATTTTTCTCAAGTTTAAAAACAACACATCTATGATGAACTCTAATCGATATTAATAAGGACCTGTAGCATGGATCACCAAAAGAACACAGGGAGATTTGTGTTCATTCGGTTCTGACCTGACCTCTGCCTCCATTAATCATCTCCTCCCGCCATACTTTTCTTAACTTTCTTTTTCCATTTTATTTCATGCTATTCTAATTTGCTGTCCATTTAGTGCTTCCTAGATCACAGCTGGAGATCAATGTAATTATTTTCATACAGTCACTTTGAGGATGTGTTCTTCTCCATGTCGTGTGTCTCTACATTAGTGTTAAAAAATAAATCAGTATATTTACAGATGATACGATACATTGTGACAATGGTTGCTGTGACATGGAGATACTATGATATATCATGATCATTGTATCATCTATTTGAAAAATATTATTCCATGATTATTGCCGTTTGGGGTTTTTTTAAACAAATATTTCATATCTTGACTTCTTCGTCGTGTCACCTGTCCAACCTGCACGGTCTTTTCCCAATATTTTGCACAGTCCACCGCGTCTGGTGTTGGCATTGCAAAATCTTGAAGAGTGCATTGTGGTGCTGCAGGGCATCTCAGGAGTAGATCCATGGTTTGCTTCTCCTGACAAGCACATTGTTCGCTTATGCAGAAGCGCCATGATTTCATATGAGAGTTGCATCTACCGAAACCCACTCTCAGTATGTTTAGGCTCCGGCATGTGAGCTATTTGGAATTGGAACCATATGCGAGCTCCTCACTGGGGATGATTCCTCACCGGCTCCATCCAGCAGTTTTGTCACTTGATTTTTCCCATTCTTTTTGCCAGAGGGAAGTGCTAGCAGATTATGGTGATGTGGTCAGTGGCACAGTGGAGCACAAGAAGCTGTTTCTCGAAGACAGTGTGCTGGCTGATGGCCATGTAGCGGGTGACGAACGTGTCACTCTGACTTGCCGGTCGTGGTCACCTGCTCCTCACCTCCTGATGTTAGGGAGGCGCTATGCCAGATAGTGCATATATGTAGGGGACAGGTGGCTCTCAGGCACCCTGTTACGATTCTGCACGTGTCATTTAGGGCAGTGTCGACATGTTTGCTGTGGGTTGAGCGTCCCCCAGGTACAACATGGATATTCAGCCACATAGAAACAAACTGATAAGGCGGTGGTGCATAGAGTGGACAGATGTGCTCTCCACTTTGAATTTGCAAGCTTTTGCAGAATGCTGATTCGTGTGTTGACCTTGGCTTTGGTATTTAAAGTGTTTTTTTGTAGCTGAGTACGCGATCCAGTGTTACCCCGAGGTGCACTGGGTGACTCTGGTGCACTAGGCTCTGGTCTCCCCAAGTGACATTCAGGCGTTGCTCTGCATCCCAGTTTCATAGGTGGAAGGCACAGATTTGGGTTTTACTTTGGTTGGGTTTGAGATTATTATTTAGGTAGTATCTTGACATTTGTCCAGTCCCCTCTCCAGGATCTTCTCTGTGTTCTTGAAATTCCTGCTGAAATTCAGCAGGAAATGGCTGATCATTGTAGGTATTGAATAAAAGCGGAGCGAGCACACTGCCTTGTGGTAAGCCATTCTTTCGGGAACCCCATCTACTTTTCTGACCATAGAAGCGTCTGTTCTCTAGGAGGCTACGAATGGTCTGGCTAAGGTCTAGGTCGACATTTATGAGGTACAGTTTGTGGATGAAGATACGGTGTTGAACAGTGTCATATGCAGCAGACGGATCAACAAACGCTGCACCAGTGATCATCTTCTGTTGGTAAGCATCTTCGATGTGCTGTGTGAGGTTTTGTAGTTGGCCTGCACAGCATCGTCCGGGTCTGAATGTAACATGTACATAGTACAATAATTACAGATCAGAAATAAATCACGATTACCAATTAAATTAGCACTTTATAAAATCACTTTTGGATTATTTTTTCACTTGGCAGTTATGTGGCATAAATCATTGGGATCCTTTAATTGAAGTATCGTGAAACTGACGGTACAATGATTATTGTAGATGCTTTACTTGCATATTGCAATATGTTATTGTGTATTGTTGCATGTGTAGTATTTATAAAGACGAATAAACTTCTTAGGAGGCACACTCTGTTCATTGTAATTATTTCCTTATACAGTCCTTTACACACACAGAGGGGGTATCCGGTCCCCTCACCCGATACCCTAAGGAGGTACAGCCTCCGGACTTGGCAGGACTTACACGTCTACCACTATCTTAGCCTAAGGAGTTACAGCCTCCGGACTTGGCGGGACTTACACGTCTACCGCTATCCTAGCCTAAGAAGGTACAGCCTCCTATCTTGGCGGGACTTACACGTCTACCGCTATTCTAGAGTCCTCCGGCTGGGACCTAGGGGAGGCTATCTGACCCACCGCTGGCCCGGTGGGTCCTGACCACTGGGTATCCGAGCCTTAGCCCTCAGAAGGGCTAGAAGGCTGGTCCAGGGTCCTAGCTAGTCTTCAGCCCGGGCTTCGGTCTTCGTGTAGGGAGAGAACTCCCCGAGCTCTGTTGGGTCACCCTTCTTATACTCGTTCGTGACCCGGTATAACCAATCACACATTCCCACGTGGAACTGGCTGATTGGTTCTTACCAAACCGTGGCTACGATCCACTTCACCTCGTCTGACCCCAACCGTTATGCACCCAGAGGTAACGCTGCACTGCCCCTTTTATACCTGGTGGCAATGCAGGTTATCGAACAGTGCGCAGTTAACACCTCTACACATGGTTACAATTGCACTATGGCATGTCTTTAATATTCCATTCATGAAGGAGATATGTGCTTCTGCCTGTTGATATTATGATACAGTTCATGGTTGCACCAGTGTCTTCGAGGAGTTTCAAAGCCAGAAGGTGCCATGTTTAGGTCTCAAATAAGGTGTTTATTCTGAATGTCTGCGTCGTTCCACTCTCTTTGCCAGCGTTCTTCCGAATCTGGATGAGGCTCTAGGATGGTGACAGCACGAACCCAGAAGAGGGATCGGGACTAGAGTCGGTAGCTATGTACATTGTTGAGGTCTTGGTTAATAGGTAGGTTGTTGTTTGAAAGAAAACATAGAAATACCCTTTTACTGTAGTGTGCATATCTCCGTGGATATTTGGTGGCAGAATGTTCACCAGAAGGACGAGCCAAGAGATTGGTGTTGGTTTCAGAATTACAGTGCTGATACCCATAGCGGTAGATAATTGTACATCTAGCAGTTTCGTGTATGAGCTCCCGGACGAGGCTGAAGTGCAATATCTGCACCTGAGTAGATCAGTAACAGGGCGGCACTTCACAGCTTGAAAGTTTCTGTAGCAAGACGATGTTTGAATTTGTCTTTTCAGATCTGTTTTCTACTGTATGGGGCTCAAAGGTCAGGTGTCTATCCATGATAACCCCTAGATAGCTTGGAGTCGGATCATAGTACACTGGGTTACCACAAAATGACACATCAAGGGTCGCATCTGCTGAACAATTATTCAGGTGGAGTCCGCTTTTGGTGGCTTTGTAAGGATTGTGTCAGTCTCTAACAATGGAAATATGCCTCCAGTAAAATAATATCAGCTGTTAAGAGTATTGACAATGGTCTCGAAATTTGTGCCCTGTGCGGCAAGGTTACCTACGTGACTTTACCGAAAGAACCAAAGAGTTTAGTTTAAAGTTGATGTCATGTGTATATATAAACTTGTGAGAAGATGTACATTTATCAGGTTACATGTGTTACATAGTGGCAGTGCTAGCACCAAGCCTTGAGGAAGGCCATTGTTCATAACTCTGGTGGCTGTGTTCACCAGTGAGGCGTATCCTCAAAGTACATTTGCCGACCATCACGTCAATTAGGTGTACAGTTGAACGGCTTCGATTTTTGCTGCCAACGGTATCATAGGCTGCAGAGGTCAATCATTGCTGTATTGATTTTCTGTTCACGATGAATGCTACCTTCTGTTCACAACAGCTACGGCCACTTCGAAATCCGGCTTGTTCGAGAGGCAGTTAAGGGTCGTTCCATTAGCTTGGAAGTGGAGGACACGAGGATATTGGACTGGAGCTGGAGAGCGAGTCTTGCAGGTTTATGTGTCTCAGAATGGCGATAACTGAAATGATTCCATTATATCCGGATATTACCTGTCTTGTTTATGATGGTCCATATTTTCCCAGGTTCTTTAGGAACTCAGGACAAAGGCCATCAAACCCCTATGCCTTGCTAAGACTGTATGGCCCCGAGGGCCCCTTCCACTTCAGTGAGTGTACGCTCACTAAATTATTGCTTCCGGTAGTTGACTCAAAATGATGGCGAGTTGTTTCCGGACACCTTGTTTGGTGCGATTGTCCATTGGTTTCTTTGAGCAGGATAGTGTGTGGGAAGCCAAAGTATTTGCTTTAGGGTTTGGTAGTCTGTGCTCTGTTGGTTGAGTCACCTAGGTTCCAAAGGAGTTACCAGGCTTCATGGCTTGAGTGAGTAAAGGCTAAATCTGCAGTGAGGTATTTCCACCGTTCTTTTCAGCAGAGTTCAGGAACACTAGCAGTGCATTTCCCTTATCTTTTTCACCTTGTCTGATTAACTCTTTAAAGAGATGTTCCATTTTTGATTACCAACAGGGCATTATCTTTTCCGATTCCCCCCCAGGATGTAATTTGTTGTGGCAAATGTCAAGATTTTTATTAATTTATTGAAGATAACAGGCCTTGGCTCCAGGTTATTCAGTTGCGCTTTGGTTTCTTTTTCATATCTGGGCCAGTTGGCCTTATGAACTTTCCAACGAGGATGTAGTTTTAAGGTTATGACTGGTATCGGTAGCCCAGTGTACGTGACTGCCGGTCTGGTTTAGGTCTGTAAGTCTTAAATATAAAAGTCTCCGCGTGCTCGCGTTTGCGGGGGATTTGGCTGGGGTTCAAGTCCAAAAAAAATTGCCGGGTGGCACGCCCCGAGCCCCCTGCTTGGTATAGGCTATTCCGTTTTCCCAGCCGTCAACTTTAAATTAGTTTAATTAGCGATTTAGTGCCACTCTTATTTTAATTATTTACTTACTGCACGAGCTCGACCGCACCAACTGACGCCAATTGCGTGGGGGGGACGGACCCTGCCAAGTGATGCGCGTTCAGTCGAGCTCACGGCCACACCACGGCACTCTGTCACGTGAGTACTTTGTGCTATAGAGTCACTAAATATACTGATATACAGTCAGCATGTACTCCTGTAGAGTCTATATATACTGCTATAGAGTCAGCATGTACTACTGTAGAGTCCTTAAATACTGCTATAGAGTCAGCCTGTACTACTGTACAGTCCATAAATACTGCTATACAGTCAGCATCTACTACTGTACCGTCGATTAATACTGCTATAGAGTCAGCATGTACTACTGTAGAGTCGATATATACTGCTATAGAGTCAGCATGTACTACTGTAGAGTCCATAAATACTGCTATGGAGTCACCATGTACTACTGTACAGTCCATAAATACTGCTATACAGTAAGCATGTACTACTATACAGTCGATATATACTGCTATAGAGTCAGTATGTACTACTCTACTCATAGCAGGTACCACCACTGTCGCTTGCCCTGCTGTAATCATAGCTTACACCACAGTATACATGCACTGCTGCAGGGAAAGCAGGTACCACCACTGTATGCACTGTTGTAATCATACCAGCTACCACAACAGTATGCATGCACTGCTGCAGGGAAAGCAGGTACCACCACAATATGCACTGCTGTAATCATACCAGGTACCAGCACATTCAGTATGTACTGCTGTTGTTAAACCATGTACCACCACAGTATGCGCTGCTGTTATCATAGCAGCTACCACCACAGTTAGTATGCACTGCCTTTGTAATAGCCGCTACCACCACTGTCAGTATGCACTGCATTTGTGATAGCAGGTTCCACCACAGTCACTAGGCACATGCTTACTGTATGCCAGCAGGTGTGCGACACTTCACGTGGCCTCAAGGTGCACATGGCCTGCCACAAGCATTGTGGTTACGTCACTGCCACTTAGTGGCGAATGGCGGTTGTTGTTGTTCAGTCTATGTATGTATGTGTGAGTCGATATGTGTAACTCTGTGTGTTTGAGTCGATTTGTGTGTGTAACTATATGTGTCTCTCAAGTCGATGTCTGTGTGTGTGAGTCCATATGTGTTTGCGTGCGTGTAAGTCAGTGGGTTTCAATGTGTATGGGTCCATGTCTGTTTGTAAGTCCATGTGTGTGTCTGCCTTTTTCGTCCGGGCAACGCCGGGTACTGACCGCTAGTTTACCTATAATGGTTCATGACGCATTTAGTGGCTGTTCATTCTTGTCCTTTGAGATGAAGCGTAAGTTCTGGGTCATGGTCCGTTTTCCATCGGCTGAGTGAAATATGCCCCGGATTTTTGTGGTCGTATAAGGAATGTATCCTCTGCCGACAACCATTCCACAAGTTTCCCTCCAGTGTTGTCATTTTCTGAGTAGCACCATGGGGTGTGTGTGGGAGCTATTGATGCCACCGATAGTATAGTCATTTAGGCCTTGCCTGATACTGGCGAGGCCATGTTTAGGGTAGTAGATTGCAGCAACAAGATCTCCTTTAATGAGGCGTTGTTAACGTTATACAGGTATCCCTCAATATACGAACGTTCGATTTACGAACTGTCATGTGAACGCAATTGACGAATTATGGAAAATTTCTATGAACAAAATCGAATTTCCGTGTTAAGGAAATTTCAAACGGCATACAAGCAGCACCCGGAAGGCTGCGTCACCCATACGCAAACAGTGTCACGTTATCCCCACAATACCGTGACACTTTTTTCCAGTCATTTAAACATGTGTATTTTTTTACAAGTTCCCTGAAAAGGTTGTTTTTCTTTTAAATTATGCAATAGTTTCAATATTTACGTTCATTTTACTATATTTGTACTGTGCAAAGTCATATAGGTGTATATTGTTAGGTAAGTAGTATTCAATTCATGTGAAAAGCCATATCGATTTACAACATTTTGTTTTACGTGTTGTTTTGAAAAACGCATCCCTTTTGTAAATCGAGGGATACCGACCTGTAGTCCTTTAGGTTTCTGGCCAGAAAGTCACATTTAGGTCTTGAGTCAATATCTTTTTTGTGAAACTGGAAGACCACGACCAATCGGTTTAAATACTTTTTTGGCATTCATCTCAACTGATCCTATCTGGATTCAAATTTACGCTATCCAATTCACCTAGATGAGGATATAAGTTGTGTTGAAGGGAACAATAAAAAACACAACAGGTGGGCCACATGAAGACTACCATCTCCCACTCATTATTGGAGAAAGCTTGTAACAGGTTTATTTTAAGTGAACTACAGTTTAAGACATTGGAAGTACCGCTCAGTAATATTTATTAATACTGATAGTATATTAAAGCTAAAAAAACAATTCCAAATACAAAAGGAAACTAATATCGCGTTGTCACGTGAAAATTAATATATAAACGTCAGCCTATTTAAAAAGATGTTGTTATGAAGTAACGTTAATGAGGATTGTGGTGGCGTTTGCGAAGTTGTTTCTGCACACCACTAATCATCATCAGCCATGTCCAATCCACTGCTGGATGATGACCTCTCCGCTGCTAATGAATCATTTATTTCTTTTATTCCACAAAGAATGTTTGTCAATATTTGATAATAAAAAAACCCGATTCCATCGTTTTGCAAATATTTTATTCAGATTACTGTATTACGTGCACGATTCCATGCCTGTATCATGAGCATAAGCATTTACGTTAATTAATAAATCGGTGCGTGCATGTTAGGTGTATTGTTGTCACTTTCTGACCTGCCCCTACTGGACATCTGTGAAAAAGAGCTTCATAGCTCATCAGATTTCTCCAGTATAAATAAAGATTCTGACGTGTATCTTTAAATGATTATGAACTTTGACTGCTCGATTGTATCTTGATGCGATAACAGGTCTCTGTGCAATACTACAATTCAACGAAAAGCGCATGGTACCACTCTTGTAGTGGAACCCTCATCGCCCCACAGTGGGTTCTCACAAGTGGCAGCTGTGCCAAGTAAGTTATTCATTTGCATTCAAGTTTTTAGATATTAATAATCACAAACCTGCTATTGTGTTAAGTATAAAGATGTACGTTGTAGATTTGTATTATATATAGCCATACTTTTGTTTCTAAGGATGAATGGTACTTTGTTATTTATTTAAAAATTGGAAGCCCTTAAATGGAATTAAAGCTGTTTGAGTTGCGTTGTTTATGTGATATCCACAGGCAGACGTATTATCTACGGGTAGTGCTTGGCAAGCACAATATATACCAGCAGGAGGCTGGGGCAAATGTTGCAGAAGTCTACCTAACTGCTTACCATTCCGCATTTAACTACACCAGCTCTGAGTAAGTATTACACATTTACTTCTGTCTATGTCTGTCCCACAAAAAATGACTGCATGATTTGGTGATAAATGATCATCGGATGACCACCCATACAATGCATTAGGAACAAGTTTTTTTCTGGCTGGCATGCCATGCGCTGCCCACATTCGCAGAGGGGGAGGGGGCATGCGGGTGGCCAGCAGTGAGTGGGGGCGTGCAGTGGGGGGGCGGGGCCGCTCGTGGGAAGGGGTGCGCGAGGAGGGGGACACGGGTTGAGGGGGGGGCGACTGGGGGTGCATGCGGGTAGGAGGGGGGGCCTGAGGGTTGTCACGTGCAAGAGGTAGGGGGGTGCTGGTGACGTTGGGGTTGGGGAGGAACCTGGTTCAACACAGATACTTTTATAGTTTACTTTATTATTATTACAAGTTTTGCTGGTTGGGTGGCTGGAGGTACGGATGGTCACATCCAAAGGACGTGCAGGTTGCTAATTTCATGTGTCATTCGACCCATCAAAACAAATGCAGTGGCTTCAATCTTTTCTGAGTAAACCCATTTTGTGTGGTTGCTATTGAAGTCACCCACATATATAGCCGGGTGAGTGACTGCTGGCAGTGGTGGTAATGGCAGTGGTGGTAATGTATACATCGATGACCATCACATGACTGTGATATTTATTGTCGACAATCTTTACTACCCGGCTTCGCCCGAGACTTGGATTCTTGTCTTGGATTAATTTAATATTCCCTTATATTTCACTGGAAAACCCTGAAGAAAATTTATGCTTGCAAGAAAAAATCCGAAACAAATCAATTTAAGTAAATCGGTTGTTTTTCACTCAAGGAAATTAAACCTTAACCAGGCAACTCGGGAAGGGAATGACGTGACGAGCTGGAAATTGTCGCGTTCCCTTAGAAATTCCAGACAGCATAAGCTGTGCAAATTTCATTACGTCAGAGGTCAGCGTTCGAGAGTTTTTGCTGCTTCACACAAACAGATGTATTTTCTGCTTTATATTTAAGAACGAGCTGAAAATAGTTGCGTTGACTTAGAAAGTCGAGACAGCGATGCGGGATACACGGCCTACGCGGAGGGTTGGGGGGGGGGGGGTAATGCGTGACGTCAGCAGGCACACTGCGTAACGCTGCCGCATGCGGGTGACATCACAGATGTGACGTCACTGCTCACTTGCCGTGCAAAATATATCCATTATTGCGCCCCCCCCGCCCCCCAAAATACAAAAGTCTATTTTTATACTGTTTGCATTGTGTACAGTCTAGAAGCTACCCACATGCCAAATTTCAATTTTGTTGCATGTCGGGAAGTATGCTAAACATTTCGAACAGACACACATTCACAAACTTCCCTTTTATATATATAGATGTGCCGTCACTTGTGGTATACTTGAGGGGGTGTACCTTTAAGCCTTGCCTAAGCAAGGTGGCAAGGATATTAGGGTGGTAGATGGCATCAGCAAGGGTGTAACCATTTATTTGGTAGTTTGCCATCTACATCCTGTCCTCAATGTGCGTCTCTACAAGGCAAAAATGTGAATGTTGTTTCCCCTTTGGTTTCTGGCCAGGAAGTCACATTTAGGTCTTGATAGTTATTACATTTATTCTATTTAGCGAATGTGTGGGGGCACGATGTCCACCTCCTCCACTCTCCACTCCTCCTCTTCGGCCGCCTCTCGCCGAGCCCCCGCCGATCGAGTGATCGGCCCACCCAAGCCAGTGCCCTCTCTGAGGGACATACCTGAACGGCTGGCTTTGCCACCACCGAGATTAGACTATGGGGCATGCCTCACCGTTCACGCTATTTCTACTGTGTAAACGCGCTGCGTAAAGCTTGCTGTGTAAACAAACATGCGAGCGCAAGCACGCGCAAACGACGGCGGCCGTATGTGCTGCAGTACACGCGCCTCATGCGCACGCTCAAATCATACCACCCCCACGCTGCAGCCCTGCACTCACTCTCACGCTGAGCACACCGTCTCTCCACGCAGACAAGCCACTCACAGATCACAGACGCTACGGCGAGGTTTTGCCCACACACACAGAAATCACACTACACCGATATCCTGTACTAGAGTTTATTAATGGTGCCAATACGCATTTCGCGAGGAGAGCCTAGCGTAACTCTGCCTATAAACCCAGCTACTCAATCGTCCTACCACGTACCTTGAAACTGGACTCGCGGCGTCCCACGGACGCTGAGAGAGTCAGAGGGAGAAGGACGAGAGAAGACTTGCCCAATCACTGTCTCGCAGCAGCACTCGCTGGCATCACACGGATGCTGTGAGCGGCTTGAAGAGGCAGGACAGCAGGCAGGGAGTGGGTCGTGATGGCCCGGAGGTTGTAGACAACAGCTCCAATCGTCCCGAGGCTCCCACCTTTATACTCTCGCTGCCGCTCCGCCCACCCATTGTTCTCCTGTGCCCAGTAGTTCACGTCTTAGGGTCTGCTCTTCATGCCTAATATTCCACCCTCCGTCCTCCCCTCAATGTTGTGTGTAACTCATTGCGGTTGGCCCAGGGAATCTTTTCTTTTTGCACCAATACAATTTTAAGCCAATTTAGGGGCACCGCAATGTCACCTGTCCTGTGGGGGTCGGCCAATCTCCTGGCACCGGGAAACCGTGGAACTCTCCCCCTAGGGGCCCTTCGGATTAAAACCCGATGTGCCAGGACAATACGTGGGTGCGCTATGTGCGGGTGTGCGTCTAGTGCAGGGGCCGGGAGGTAGTCGCGGCGCTTGCGGAGTTGCTCCGCGGTCGTGGCACCACAAATGCAAAGTCATAAAGCTAAGCGGTTGCTTTCTAGTCCTGCTGAGTTAAGGGTGAGTAGACCTCCACTGAGTATATGGATTGGGCAAATGTGGTTTTCTTGCAGGCATGTGTTGGGCATCAAGGACTTAAATGAGACTGTGCTTGGCTGCTGATATGCCTTCGACATTAAGTTGGAGGATTCGTAGGGCTGGTCTGACTGAAATGTGATCTTGGTGCTGTGTGTTCTCGGCTTTGGGACTTTGACTATAATTCTTTGAGGCTCTTCTCACGAAGCTTCTTTTCGAATTTAGTCTGCTTGTAGGATCATTCATTTTCCCAGGCAGACTCGGATACTGACGGGGCGTGACGTGAACGTTGATCCATCGTTCCCCAGTTATTCGTTATTAACTGTTTTATTGGTACACTCAATCGGTTGTTCACCTTTTCAAGGGTCATTATTGGAAGGTAGCTCTGCTGATATCTGGATTTAAATTAATGACATCAAATTCACCTAGATGACGGTATTAATTATGTTTAAGGTGACACGAAAACCCGAGGCTACCATTTTACACCCTACATTTTTGATAATAAACAAAATCGAGTGTGTAGGTTTAACAAATATTACATTATTTGTTTTTTTAGGCGCCAATCCACTATATTGTGTACACGTTTTATATCTTGATGCTTATCTCAGATCTTATCATTCTCAATATGAACCCTTTAATTGTGTATAGAAAAGACGTTGGATTGATTAAGCTGACAGCACCGGTGCCGCAGGACAATGGAATACGGATTGCCTGCCTTCCCAGTGACAACGAGCAACTGTCATCGAAAACCACATGCTACACCATCGGCTGGGGCTCCAGAATAAGTAGGTCGCAACAACAAGGATGGCCACACATACATTAGGTAGTCACAAAACAAATATGGAATACAGGATTATAATGTGCAATGAGTAACATATATAATCAATGTAGTAATCGTCATGATAATCTTGATTTGAAGCTTTCGTGACTGCAGGAATCCATACTCTTTGGTCCTTTCGGTAAAGTCACGTAGGTAGAAATAAAATAAATTAAAATGAAATAAATCATGACGTTTCGATCGCAACACAAGAATCCTTCATCAGGTGGAACAACCCACTCACTCATCCTAATCTGGGCGGGGGTAACAACCATCACCCGCCCGGCGACTCGTGAGGGTTGAGGTCCATCCCTGGCTTGAGCGGCAGTGGCGAGATGTCTTCACCTTGGTCCCCAGCAACACAAACTCCTCTACGCTCTCACGGCCGTATTTATGTCCCCTCTCCAATTAACCAACTCCACCCTGGTGTCTCTTTAGGGCCAGACCGGCTGGCGCCTGTCTGACCATCAATCACCCCTTATCGCCCGTTTCCCTGGCAACACCTCTGGTGTCAGCGTGCAACCCCGGACCGACCTTGTTTGCACCAGCTTCCCCCCTTAATGAGGTGGTTGTTCGCCCGTGCAGCCTCATGTTGCATACACGCACGTGTTTGTCCCTCGGACTACAGTGTGTGCCGCGTATTTAAGCACACTACACAAGTAATAAACTGCGGTTGGCAAATCCGCGGTTGGCGAGGGATTTCTCTGTTACTTTGTAGAAATGATTGTCGTAACACTGTCCAAAAACTGGCCTCGTTAACATTACTATCATCTTTCCATGGTTAATTACATTAGTAGTATCAGGATGGAGGGCAAACTATCAAGAGAGGCACTGAAGTAGACACCCAAAAGTGGGTGACCAAGGTGTGGTCTCTGGAGGTCAACTGGTAACTGTACAACAGTTGCAGGATCTGACAACATAACCAAGGACCAGGCGTTGAGGGGTCACCTGCATTAATCTGTTTTGTTGACCTTTGTGGACACTGCTGCAGATTTCCGAAACCCTGCAGCTGTGTGCACCTTTGAGGACATTCGTAACTTTGCACAATGCTGTTATGAGATTTCACCACATCATGTTAGAATTCCCTTGCGCCTCCCTTAACTTAGAATGCGTTACCGTGTTTGGTGCAGCTTCTCGTGGAATGCTGCCTTTTTAAAAAAGGAAAACGTCTTGCGACTCGACCACAAACTACAATATATCTATAAATGAGATATTGTAAAACTGAGTTTTATTTGTCATTTTCTCTATATATTTCAGTCAATGGTTTATTTAGCAGCACGCTCCAGCAAGCCACCCTACCAGTGATTGATGACAACACATGCAAAACAGATGAATATTGGGGTTCTAAATTACCTGCAAACACAACATGTGCTGGTGATGGATCAAGCGGTCCATGCAATGTAAGAACATTTCTTGTTTGAGTCACAATTTGTAAACAATTTACTGATTTGTTGTGAAAGTGTTTTAGGAATAATGTGCCCAAGTTGTACAGTGCATGGATTACTTTGCTCAAAGTGCATCAAAAGTTTTCACACAGTACAGTATTTGATATTCTGACAGATGTAAGACTTTTGTCTACTCATAACTTCAGCTGTGGTTCAGGATAATGGTTTAACAATGACTTTTCCGTTCGTTCAAAGGGTGATTGGGGTGGACCGCTACTATGTCGGAAGAGTGACAATTCATGGGTTGTGCATGGCGTTGTTACATTTATATCAGCAGTGAATTGTAAAAATTTATCTAAGCCTCCAGTCTTCTCTCGTATATCTGCCTACATTCCCTGGATTCAAAACGTAAGCTGCACATTCAAACTGCTGTTACGCACAAGCTCGTATACTACGTTCGTCGGTTACACATATTTTAAAACAGCATTTGTACACTCAGCAAATTCATATATTTAATCGAATATCTCTTATCATTTGTTGAACAAGGTGGCATACATTTATGATGCAGTACTCTCGATGTGTGGCTGGTGGCTCATACAGACTTAATCCAGAACTAAAACTGGGTGCTGTGAGCTGACCATAAGATGGCAGTACAGCAAATGGATGCATGTGTAGAGGATGTCTCGTACAACCTCACATTCGCACCACACAAACAGCACGCATGCCTTCCTCACTCGACATCACACACGCCGCACATGTCAATCACGCAAACGGGGGATAGACCAAGTAAGGATCGGAGGTCAGGGGTCACTGACGTCACGCACACACAACTCACTCGAGCAAGGAATAGAGATCGGGGGTGTTAGCACTGACGTGCACGACACGCAATCAGATTGGTGAGTGGATGACACTCTGATCGAATTGGTGAAGAGAAACGGATTGTAAAAGAGCGGGAAATTGTAGAAGGGTGACTGGCGAAGAAGGGCATAGTGGAGGTTTAAAATGGACTGTGAAACGAGGAAACGGGGTTGGTTTGAACGAGTATTGCTGTGGTGTACGAGCGGTGACAACGAAATGAATAAGTTGAAGTACACCAACCAAAGTCTCCTCTTCACACGTCCCTCTGTATAATTTATCAAGTAGCTCCTCAAGCTAGGGTTCCCACTTGTTCAGGTTTGATCTGGATTGCACACAGGCAGTTCAGCAATTGATATTTTTGTTCGGGTGGCAGGAAATGGTTAATATCTAGAATGGTTAGTATTGTTTAAATTATATTACACTGATAATAGGTTTTTCCCCTTTTTTCAGGCAACAAAACAGGTGTTAAGATGTTAAAACACCAAATTGAAACCTTTTACAAGGAATCATGTCTGCATTAACCACAATGCTTGTGGTCAGAATGCAAACAAAAATCAGTTTCAAGGACAAAGCATATATTATCAGAGTATACTCTTTGGTTCTTTCGGTAAAGTCACGTAGGTATAAAATAAAGTAAATTAAATTACGACGTTCCGGGCGCAACACAAGCGTCCGTCATCAGGTGGGACAACCACAGCAGGAAACAATTGCTGAAGTGGGCAAAAGGGCTGCTGTAACAAGAGGTTATATAGGTTACAGAGGGGGGAGGAGCCAGGGAGGAGAGATAGAGAGGGGGTGTGGGGTAGGGGGAGTGGAGCACTGCCAAGTGAAGCGCTGCTAGAAGGGATTAAAGGTGAGCACGGCAAAATGCCGGGGGGGGGGGGGAGTGAGCGGGGCTGAGAGTGGGAGGCTAAAGAAGACTGGAGATGCGGATATGAAGGCAACACCATAAAGCAGTTAAGGTTTTACCTTGTTAATAACATCCTTCCAATGATTGCTCAATTTGTATCCATCTTCTCGGTTGAAGTTAGTTATGTTTATATGTCTGGATGGCTTCATGAACAAACCTGTGATAGTAGCCCGAAGGTTTGCAGAGTACCTTGGTCTCGGAAAAAAACATGAGAGCCCACAGCGTTATAGCAATGGTCAGCCACGGCGGAGGTATTAGTTCTGCCGTGTTTCATATCTGACTTGTGCTCGCGAACACGGTCCGAGATATGTTGTTTCGTTTCCCCAATGTAACACCCACCACAGGTGCAACTTAGTTTGTCGACTCCAGGATATTGCATGTCAGGAATGACATACTTCACAGATGGGATTAGATCACGGATTTTGTGTACTGTACTGAATCGGACCTGGATCTTGTTTTTGTTTAAGATTTTGGAAATCTTTTTGGTAACGCCTGCTATGCATGGTAACGTGATGGTTTTGCCCACTTCAACAATTGTTTCTTGCTGTGGTTGTCCCACCTGATGACGGACGCTTGTGTTGCGCCCGAAACGTCGTGATTTAATTTATTTTATTTTATACCTACGTGACTTTACCGAAAGAACCAAAGAGTATGGATCCCTGCAGTCATGAAAACTTAAAATCTAGTTGATCAGAGTATGTTTTTTTTTTGCATTCTGACCACAAGCATTATGGTTAATGCAGACATGATTCCTTGTAAAAGGTTTCTGTTTGGTGTTTTAACATCTTAACACCTGTCTTATTGCCAAAAAAAGGGTAAAAACCTATTATCACATTTTGGTACTGGCAAAGGAGGTCCCAGATGCGCACCCCAAGCTCTCATTACTCTGATAGTGCAATGTTTTTGTGCTGTACGCCTTTTGGCGTCCTCTGATCTACCATCGTTTGAGACGAGGCTCAAAAGAAAGATGTCTCTGGTGTGGCCCAATCAGTTTAAAAAACAATGCATATATTTTCTTAGTTTTTTCGGTAAAGTCACGTTGAAGAGAAACAACAGAATAACAAAATATATATAAAACAATAAAAAATTCTCACGACGTTTCGACCATAACTCAAACGGTCATCATCAGGTGAGTTATGGTCGAAACGTCGTGAGAATTTTTTATTGTTTTATATATATTTTGTTATTCTGTTGTTTCTCTTCAACGTGACTTTACCGAAAAAACTAAGAATATGAATTACTGCAGTCACGAAAGCTTTAAATCAAAATTTAATGCATATATTATCAGAGTATGTTTTTGTTTGAATTCTGACCACAAACATTGTGGTTAATGCAGACATGATGCCTTGTATAAGGTTTCTGTTTGGTGTTTAACATCTTAATACCTGTTTTTAGAAATGACCATTACTGTGTTGTAATATTGGTTGTCAGTAATATTTCAAAAGATAATATTGTATTTTATGTGAATTTCCAATGTGCAGGTGATGGCCCGTTATTAAACTCGGAAGGACATTCTTGTGGGCGATGAACTGTACCATCAAGATTGTCATCGCCGTCTTAACACATACTGGTTCATTGATATTTACATCATAATGGTTCTTGAAATATTAACACAAGCTTGTTTAATCTAATCTGAATCAACCTTTTTAGAAGAGTATTTTGATCAAGGCAACAGAAAGCTGGTAGCAATGTATATTCTTTGCTTAAAACGCTCTGAACGTTATGTAACCACATTATGGCGAATTAACCGTGAAAGAATTGTGCATGCTACATCTAACATGTGAAAACGACATATTTTATGTGGACAGAACACGAATTTATACAGTGGCGGTGTTGTTAACCACAAACTGATTATTTTATCATGTAAGTACGACTAACAAAATTTGGTGGGGCGAAATGAAGTAGGCTGGACATGTCAGAAATATAATCATAGCAATAGGTAAAACATCATTTTTTACAGTTAAAATAGTTGCACACTGCTATATACATCGATTTGTATGCCATTAATTGTATCCCATAGGTTTTATACGCTTCATGGATTTACTCATTTTGCTTCATGAAATAATTTACAAACCAGGGCATGTACCTAAAATAGCTTATATATGTAGTTTCTGGATGTAGTATTTGAATGAAAATTTCTAAACAATGGGTGTTGTGTGGTGTATTGTAGACGAAGAGACCTGTACCAAAGAGCTCCTCTGACTCGTATGAATTGTATTTGGTCCTCTCTGCACACATTAAAAGTCTTGGTAGAATAATAAACGACTTCCACGACGATCTTGACTGGCGTCTTTTATTGATATAATTCTTGCACAGCTCACTCCCGCTCTCCCCGTATGTTTCCCTGCTCTCTCTTTGGCCGGGGACGAGCCGTTCTCTCTGTTCGCCTCTCTCCCGCTCCCCGATCTTGCCGCTGGCTGGCGCCGTGCCCTGAAGGAGAGGCGAGCCTCGCTGGTTTCCGCCGTTGAGGTCCGCCTCTTTCTCACTCCCCGATCCTGCCGCTGCCTGGCGCTGTGCCAGGAGGAGAGACGAGCCTAGCTGGGTTCTGCCACGTGGTCGATGATGGGGAGAGGCTTGTGCAGCGACACACCGACCCTGAGTCCTCCGCTGTCCCTGCTTCTATCTCTCTCGGCGGAGCTGAGCTCCGCCTATAGCCACGCCCCCTCGTGGAACCTTCCTGATGGTTCCTGGACGTTCCCCTTTGACTCCGGCCATTACCTTTGGCCCAGATATATCCTCGCTTGGGATTGGATACCCGCTACCCGGTGGTGGCCATGCGGTTACCCCTTTCCGCCCATTAGATGACGCTCTCTCATTACACATATTCCAGAGGTCCAAAATGTATGTATTTCCCATTTTTCACCGGTACGTAAAAATTACGTGGTTTTCGTGTTTTTACCAGCCACCCGACTATAAAGGGGGGGGGGGCGGAATTGGACAGGGCCCCCAATTTTATCCCTTGCACCAAGACCTATACCAACCACGAGGCGGTGACATTGCCGAATGGAAGTGCACCCGACGCTTTTTACTAAGGTTCAAGCTTCAAATCCAGCAGCCTCGCTGATTAATAGTGGGTTAAAAAAAACTTTAAAAATATTACGTGCCGTCTGCTTTCACAGTGGACGTTGAAGGACCCATAACGCCTTTCACGCTAATAATGCATTGTGTGCCGGCGTCATGGTCCAAATTTGCCAAACCAACGGAATTATTTTGGCAGACCGCATAGCTTGGGTAATTGTTAGCACCGGTTCTGGCTCTCTTCTGGCTTGTATGTGGTTTCCCATGCCTCCGTTTGAAAACGGCACGTTTTACAAATTGTACAGCGTTGTGGGATGCAATTTTTACAAAATAAGCTTTCAAAATTACATGTGACTTTTTTACATTAACCATGCTATGCATGTGGTTGTTAAGTTCAAGTTCATTTTGTTTAGCCAGGTGAGGACAGATAAGCTCATTTGAATGACCCTGGTGCATCAGTCTGCGAGTCGGAGGTGATAATCTCTCTATATAATCCCAATTGAGAAATTTACGGGCAATTTTCCAGTGTGGCAAATTTGGACCCTGACTATGGCACGCAATGACCTACTCTTTCTAATTACGTCAGGAGATCTTTAATGTCTACGATAAAGCAAATGGAACATTATAGTTATTACACTCGCAGTAATAATTAGGACGGCTACTGGATTCGAACCATGTAACTCGACAAAAGCAGTGAATGCGCTACCACTAGGCAATGGCATTGCCCTACCTATCATGCCCTGTCATGAACAGTTGTCTCACAGCTAAAAAAATTAGTTATCATTATCGGGAATGGCCCACAATGGACCGCAAACAGATTTTGCTATAGTTTGAAACAGGATTTTGCCCATATTTTAACATATTTGTTGCCACTTAGAAAAACAATCTTTGCAACCAAAAATATGTTTATAGCTTGGGGACTTACCAGGCTTCTAAGAATCATTTTAATTTTGGGGAAACAGGCACACATCAAGGCAAAATGTCGATTCTTCAAGGGAGCCCATGGAGACGATTCAAGGTATACCAAATATGGGTTGTCTCAAGCTTCTCGGAACTAAACATTGTAACCCAACTGTGGTTTGTGGGACATCGATATAAATAAAATGCATGCATCTTGGATGTAAATGAAATGCATGCGAGCATATTTACCAGCAGTTGTTTGTGTACACCACTCTGACTTTCCAAAGAGACTCCTCTTGGATCTGTGCCACGAAAGAGATTGTAAGACATGGACCATTAGTGGCCATCTCACATTACCACATTTATTTAAAAACGCTGCATGTATAGCACCATGCATTGTCATACTCTCTTCGGCACGATGTTGTCCCCCCAGGTACTCTCATTCACTGTCATGCAAAAACACTCGTTAGTTTGAAAGTGGCCAAAATCCCAAGTGAGCCTGAGACTTTTCTGGACAAAGGATTTAACTCCAAAGAAGTCCATCTAAATGTTGCATCACCAGCATGCTTGCAGATAACCATCAGCATGTCATACAGCATGATGACTTTGCACAACCCTTACATGCAGTTCTAACATACCTATGATATAATGTCATAATTTTCAATAGGGTACGTTACATTCCCATTTATACGATTCACAGCACAATTCAATATTGACTAACAATAAAATAATTCTTTGGTAGGTTCTTTTATATGCTTAGTTCTTTCGGTAAAGTCACGTAGAAGGGAAACAATAAAATAATAAAAATATAAAACAATACAATTCTCACGACGTTTCGACTGCAATACAAGCAATCATCATCAGGTGTGAAAACCACAGCAAGAACATTTTTTAAAAGTGGCGTTTTTTTAACGTTAGCACCACAGAGAGCGATTTGACAGTTTGTTCAGATGGACGAGTCCATCTATGTTCGGAAAAGAGCAGGGGGAGACGAAAATAATGGATGCGGTCTGAAAGCCACCGTAAGCGTGAACAATCAATTAAGACCCGAAAATGGTTTATCAAATCCTTCCAATGATTGCTAAGCCAGAATCCATCTTCTCGGTTGAAATTGTCTCTGTGTTTGTATATGTGTATAGCCTCATGAACGAATCTCTCATGTAGCCAGATGGCTTGCAAAGAACCTCTGTCTTGGAGAAGTCAATGTCATGTGAGCCTACTGAATTATAACAGTGATCTGCCACGGCCGAGGTGTTAGTCCTACCGTGTTTTAGGTCTGCTTTGTGTACACGAATGCTGTCTGAGACATGTCGTTTGGTTTCTCCAATGTAACTACTACCACAGAGGCAACTTAGTTTGTAGACGCCAGGGTAATGTATGTCCAACCATGAAGAAGGACCCTCTTGAGGAACCTTTCAAAACAATCACTTTACCCTACATTTCGGGGATCACAAATAAGATCTCCAAAATATTGAATAAACACAAGATCCAAGTCCGATTCAACACATTACATAAAATCCGTGATCTGGTTCTATCTGTAAAAGATGTGATTCCGGACATACAGTACCCTGGCGTCTACAAACAAAGTGGTGGTTTTCACACCTGATGATGATTGCTTGTGTTGCAGTCGAAACGTCGTGAGAATTTTATTGTTTTATATTTTTATTATTTTATTGTTTCCCTTCTACGTGACTTTACCGAAGGAACAAAGAATAGGAATCCCTGCAGTCACGAAAGCTTTAAATCAAAATTTAGGTTATTTTAGTCATGAACAAATGAGCACTTAAAATTATAAGGTAGAAAACACGAGAAACGTATTAGAATCAAAGCATGAATAATAAGTGTAATATAAAGAGGACTTGAATTTATATGAACTTGCTAACATTTTATTATACGGTTATGTATCAAAATTGTACTTAGTAAAATTTGTAAAAAAAAAAGTTCAATTTTTAATATCATCGTCCTTGGTTCTTTCGGTAAAGTCACATATAATGAGAATAAAATAATAAAATAAAACAAGACAATAAAATTCTCACGACGTTTCGGCCACAACACAAGTAGCCTTCTTCAGGTGAAAGAACAGAACTGTCGGGACGACAGACCTTCAATTAACGCTGCTAAGATTCGCAGCGTCTTTTTTAAGCTCGGTGAGAGGCGTGAAGAGCCTTGACAAAGGAGTTAACATATCAAAGCAGCAGAATTTAGCATTGAAAAAGCTGAAGGATTAGCTTGTGACAGAAATAGCTGTGTTAAAGTCAAAGTTTACATATCAACAGAGGCAATTAGTATATGCACGCTAAAGGCCTCCAACTATCAACTATCATAAAGTAAACCATAGCGTCTTTTAAGCTCGGTGAGAGGCGTGAAGAGCCTTAACAAAGGGGTTTACATATCAGAGCAGGAGAATTTAGCATTGAAATAGCAGAGGGATTAGCTTGTGACAGAAATAGCTGTGTTAAAGTAAAAGTTTACATATCAACAGAGGCATTTAGTATATGGACGCTAAAGGTCTACAACTAACCAACTATCATAAAGTAAACTGATGTGAAAAAATTAAGTCTATATCACATCAATATAATAAATGTACTTAATATATTCTTCAATAAGCTGAGCTATTAATGATACAGCAACTGGGTATACATTACACTATGTAATGAATACCATATAGTAAACCAATAAAAAACTAAAATATAAGCTCCTCAAAGTTATCAATAAACTCCATATACTCTCCAGTCAGCTGAGCAACTAACAATAAGTCGTTAAATATCACAATGTTATATGGTGAAAAATGGCGGGTTTTCCTTCCCCTCAACACCAGAACCACGGACAGCGACATTCAGGCGGACGAGTTAATCCATGCTCGGAAGGGAGGAGGGGGGAGAGAGCAACAGTCACCATGCCAGCGAAAGAGCTGCGGTCTGATGGTCACTGTAAAATACAATTAATTAAGAACCGAAATGGTTTAAAACATCTTTCCAATGGTTACTAAGCCAGAATCCATCTTCTCAGTTGAAATTGTCTCTGTGCTTGTATAAGTGGATGGCCTCGTGAACGAATCTCTCATGGTAGCCGGTTGGCTTGCAAAGAACCTCCGTCTTGGAGAAGTCAAACTCATGTGAACCCACTGAATTATAACAGTGATCTGCCACGGCAGAAGAGTTCGTCCTACCGTGTTTCAAGTTTGCTTTATGTTCGCGGATGCGGTCCGAGATATGTCGTTTGGTTTCACCAATGTAGTTGCTACCACAGAGGCACTTTAGTTTGTAAATGCCCGGATACTGTATGTCTGGAACAGCATCTTTTACAGATGGAACCAGATCACGGATTTTATGTATTGTGTTGAATCGGACCTGGATCTTGTGTTTATTCAGGATTTTGGAGATCTTTTTAGTGACCCCTGCAATGTAGGGTAAGGTGATGGTTTTTAGTGGCTCCTCAAGAGTATCCTTCTTCATGACTGGAGTGATGGCTTTGCGGATTGTGTAGTTGGAGTAACCATTAGCCCTGAGAGCCTGGTGTACGTGTTTGAGTTCACTGGCAATGTGTTCCTGGTCTGAGATGCATTGGGCTCTATGGTATAGAGTCTTGATGAGGGAGTTCTTCTGGGATGGATGGTGGTGGGAATCTGGTCTCAAGTAAGCATCTGTATGGGTAGTTTTTTTTCTGTAGACAGAGTGGCTCATTGAACCATCAGGTCTCCTTTTAATTAAGACATCCAAAAAGGGTAGCTTGCCATCTTTTTCGACTTCCATGGTAAATCTGATGGATGGGTGCATGAAATTGATGTGGTCGAAAAATTGGTCTAGAGCAGGCTGGCCATGTGGCCAGATGACAAAAGTGTCATCCACGTTCCTCTTCCATAAGGTTGGGCATAGAGTGGCAGTCTGGATGGCGTCAGTCTCAAATTTCTCCATGAAAATGTTGACTACAACCGGAGACAAGGGGGAGCCCATTTGGGTGCCCTCAGTCTGTTTGTAGAAAGTTCCATTCCAGGTGAAGTATGTGTTGGTTAAGCAATGTCTCACCAGAGGGGGTACATCAGTATGCAGTCCTTGATGAACCAAGTCTTCAATGATTGCGATGGTGTCAGGTACCAGAACTTTGGTGAATAAGGACACCACATCAAAACTGACAAGCAGGTCGTCTGGGGACAGGGAAATGCCTTTGATTGTCGATACCAGGTGAGTAGAATTTAGTACCGCAGAGGTGGTTTTTCCAGTGAAAGGTCGCAGTATATCAGCCAGAAAACGTGCCAGTTTATAGGTGGGGGAGTTGATAGTTGAGACGATGGGACGAAGAAGTGTATCTTCTTTGTGTATCTTTGGGAGGCCATATAATCTTGGTGGTCTGGCAGCAGAGGGTTTCAACGAGAACTGTTTGGTCTGATCAGTTGATGCTGTTGAATCAGAGATGATTTTGTTCGTTTTGGTAACCAAGCTGTTGGTGGGATCTCTTTTTATTTTTGTATAGCTGCCATCGTTGAGTAGTTCTTGAATTTTGTTGTTATATTCTATTTTGTCCATGATGACAGTGGCATTGCCCTTGTCGGCTGAGAGGACGACAATATAATCTCTATTTAAAGCTTTCGTGACTGCAATGATTCATCTTCTTTGGTTCTTTCGATAAAGTCACGTGACTTTACCGAAAGAACCAAAGAAGATGAATATAATCTCTCCTTTTTAATTGAGATAATTCAAAGCGTTCTTCTTTGCTGATGTTGCTAGGTGGCATCTTAGCGTTTTTTAAGGGTTGCAGCGATTTCAGATGTTGCTACGTCTGCAGCAATGTGACTCAAGCCCTTGAGTGCAACGTCAACATGGGCAATGATATCATTAACTGGTATGTGTCTCGGTGTGACAGCAAAGTTTAGCCCTTTAGCTAAAACGGATTTCAGGCCATCAGAAATGGAACTGTTACTGCGATTAATTACTACTTTGTTAACGTCTATCTTTTCGGTATGTGGAATTTATTTTTTGTTGGAGCGGCGATTACATTTGGAAATCAAATTGTCCCTACATTTGGTCGACATAGTGGCAGCCGAAGAGGTAGTCATATTGTCTACATGTTCCCAATCCGATGTAGACATCGTTGCTGTCAATGTTGAGTGTGATTTGTAGAGTATCTTGTCTAACTGATCTAGTTCGGTGCGTGTAAGTCTGATTTTTTTGGAGATAAGAGCTAAGCTAGATCTAGCTAGAATTCGTCTTGCATTAAAAGAAGTTGCAGCAGCAGAGGTTAGTGTAAATGCGGTTGGTATTACCTTAGAGTCGCGGCATCTCTTCAGAAAGGTGAGAGACTCGATTAGTTGAGCCATCTTATCCCGGACTCTGTTGAATGATCTTAAGGATGTGTGGAATTCCTCCCCGTAGAGGCGATTAAATTTCGATTTAAAGCTTTCATGACTGCAAGGATTCATCTTCTTTGGTTCTTTCGGTAAAGTCACGTAGAATGAGAATAAAATAATAAAATAAAATAAGACAATAAAATTCTCACGATGTTTCGGCCACAACACAAGTAGCCTTCTTCAGGTGAAAGAACAGAACTGTCGGGACGACAGAGCTTCAATTAACACTGCTAAGGTTCACATGACATTGACTTCTCCAAGACGGAGATTCTTTGCAAGCCAATCAGCTACCATGAGAGATTCGTTCATGAGGCCATCCACATATACAAGCACAGAGACAATTTCTACCGAGAAGATGGATTCTGGCTTAGTAACCATTGGAAAGATGTTTTAAACCATTTCAGTTCTTAATTCATTGTATTTTACGGTGACAGTCAGACCGCAGCTCTTTCGCTGGCATGGTGACTGTTTCTCTCTCCCCCCTCCTCCCTTCCGAGCATGGATTGACTCGTCCGCCTGAATGTCGCTGTCCGTGGGTCTGGTGTTGAGGGGAAGGAAAAACCGCCATTTTTTACCATATAACATTGTGATATATAACGACTTATTGTTAGTTGCTCAGCTGACTGGAGAGTATATAGAGTTTATTGATAACATTGAGGAGCTTATATTTTAGTTTTTTATTGGTTTACTATATGGTATTCATTATATAGTGTAATGTATACCCAGTTGCTGTATGATTAACAGCTCAGCTTATTGAAGAATATATTAAGCACATTTATTATATTGATGTGATATAGACTTAATTTTTTCACATCAGTTTACTCTATGATAGTTGGTTAGTTGTAGACCTTTAGCGTCCATATACTAAATGCCTCTGTTGATATGTAAACTTTGACTTTAACTCAGCTATTTCTGTCACAAGCTAATCCCTCTGCGATTTCAATGCTAAATTATCCTGCTCTGATATGTAAACCCCTTTGTCAAGGCTCTTCACGCCTCTCACCGAGCTTAAAAGACGCTATGGTTTACTTTATGATAGTTGATAGTTGGAGGTCTTTAGCGTGCATATACTAATTGCCTCTGTTGATATGTAAACTTTGACTTTAACACAGCTATTTCTGTCACAAGCTAATCCTTCAGCTTTTTCAATGCTAAATTCTGCTGCTTTGATATGTTAACTCCTTTGTCAAGGCTCTTCACGCCTCTCACCGAGCTTAAAAAAGACGCTGCGAATCTTAGCAGCGTTAATTGAAGCTCTGTCGTCCCGACAGTTCTGTTCTTTCACCTGAAGAAGGCTACTTGTGTTGTGGCCGAAACGTCGTGAGAATTTTATTGTCTTATTTTATTGTCTTATTTTATTCTCATTATATGTGACTTTACCGAAAGAACCAAAGAAGATTAATCCTTGCAGTCACAAAAGCTTTAAATCGAAATTTTCATAACATATTTTCAGAATGCCGCAGAAGACAGCCCCATTACAAAATCTGTTGTTTCTTCACTCAGAGCTGATGGTGCATATTGACCCATAATCATATTGCAATAAACTTCAATTTATAAAAAATATTGGTTAAATTATCCTGTATCCTGTCAATATATAATGAAAATCATAAAAATGCAAAATGCATACTAGCATTTAATTCATGAATAGGTCAGATTTTGTCATAAAATGTATTTCGTATTTAATTTCATCGTTCTTAATGTTATTGCTGCAATCATTTCACATCTGCGTCATCATGTATGATATTGGGAAAACGCTAATTAAATGGATATATAAGGAGGTTCTCAGATGAGTGGCTCATTTCTTCAGACTCCCTTCGCAGGATCATCGCCGATCACCTCCAAAAGCAATCACCATGCCTATCGTCGACTCTGGAAGTGTTGCGCCTCTCAGGATGTCCACACCGGAGGTCTCATACGTCAATCATGAGACCTCCGGTGTGGACATCCTCGTGAAGGCAATCTTTTATTATGAGCAGTGAACACGTAGAAACACCTTCATTTCGTAAAATTTTATTAACATAGTAATCGTGTTAATTCTTAACCATAATACTTAAGTAGGATAAGTGGAATTTTTAAAAATATATTTTGTCATTACCATTATCCTGATGCATTGGATCTTCTACTGGAAAAATAAAATTATGCATATGGTCAACTATTTGGCCCAATTGACAAATAAATTTTAATCACAGAATGATCATTCCTTCAAAACAGGTTCTTCACCAGCACCCCCGCTTTTCAGGAATTCTTCCCCAAGTTCAAGGGGATGACTTCGGCTGATCAGCTCAAGAAATCCGCGGACGTGCGCTGGCACGCCGAGAGGATCATCAACGCCGTCAACGATGCCATGACGTCCATGGATGACACCGAGAAGATGAGCATGAAGCTAAGGGATCGAGTGGCAAGCATGCCATAAGCTTCCAGGTGGACCCCCAGTACTCCAAGGTAACGCATGCAGTGAACATAAAGTTCAATCACTACTGGTTGGCTCTTGGGTGATTGCTGCCTACAGCTGTTAGCAAGATTGGTACAGAGTTTACTAATGAAGATACATCTCAATCCCTCTCACATAGTGCCTTTGTATCCACCTAAAACTTGATATAGAGTAGTTACGTAAATATGTATTCTACTCAATTGGTCTGTAAGGATCCCCCACTCTCCCCTATTTTATTTATTTTCACGATTCAGTCTGCAATTCTATTCAACAATACGTTTTATGGCCTCGTGGCAGCCGGGATCATGAATAGCCATTTTGCACAAAGTACAGAAGTTTAAAAAAAAAAGTTTTACATTCACTATTAGATGCTTGTGTAATGAAAGATAACCTATTTTAATAGCCAAATCGAATTTTCTCTGATGTCTTTCCAGGTCCTGGCCGCGGTCATTGCTGACACCGTTGCCGCAGGCGATGCCGGCTTCGAGAAGCTCATGAGCATGATTTGCATTCTGCTCAGGTCTGCCTACTAAACCAACGTGCACGGCCACTCCTGCAAGACTGCTACGCAACTGCCATTGCCACATGATTTGCACCAGTTTATGTTGACAGAGATAACGAATGTCTTGGAGAATGAAGCATCTTTCCGAGATGTTTTTGTCAATGACAATAAATTAAATGTAACTTTCCAATGAAAATCAATAAAAGTTCCATGCATACAGGTTTTGGAATGTGTGCAATTTAAAGAATGAATGAAATGTGTGACCTGCGTTGTGGATGCTGCTATGGTGTAGTGGTTGACAGATCGCTCAGTGGCAGTGTCAAAGGAGCAACGTTTGAGTGCCACTTTACCAGAAATGTCAACGGTGGCTTGGCTGTTGAGTGTTCAGGCAGTGCAACTAACCTGGGGCCCATTGTCTGGAATAATTGAGGCACCAGGCTACGAAGTAGGCATGGCGGGAAATTGGACAAGGGGCACCTAGGCCTAGGCTAGGCATACTATTAAAATTCATCCCACTCATGACAAGATTCACCCCATGAAATATTTTGGATATATTTTTTGTCAACCCCAAAAATGTGGAAAGAATGAGTGATGGAATGTTACCACCTCTGTCTCGAGGCTCAATACCCGGTAGGGTATTAGCAGGAAGACGACCAGTATAATACAGGTTTTTTGGGTTAGATCGCATAAATCTATAAATGTGTTGTTAAACTCGCCACCATTCGACACAGCCAATTATTAAGGTTTGTCACGTAAACAGAACATCCCAATGTGTTACTAGTACAGCACACCGGTGTGTTGGAAAGCAAAGCCACAATATTTACAATCTGAGTACGACGTTTCGCCAGTAATTACAACTAGCTTCATCAGGCGACAAATCTGGCTATCGCCTGATCAATGTATTACATGCATGGTTCAATGTCTGTGTCATGAGCATTAGCATTTACCTTTATTAATACCTTAGTACATGCCTGTTAGGTGAAATGTATTTTGAAATGCCTATGTTAACTACTCGATTGTATGCTGCTGTCTTCACAACAGGTGTCTGTGCAATTCTACCACGACTTGACATTCATGGTACCAATACTGCACGGGAACCCTCATCAGCCCACAATGGGTTCTCACATCTGGCTTGTGTGCCAATTATGTTCTTCATTTGTATTTGGATTATTTTTAGATATTTGTAATCATAAACCTGCTAGGTATTCTTTCGGGTTGACATATATGTTGTGGATACGAGTATGTGTAGCTATAAAGACGGTTACTGCATCGCGCGCTTTCAGATGCGCTTCTGCATTGAAAACTAATTTCTTTAGAACTGCTTTTTGTGTTTAGCTTGTCCTTCCCCCCGCACCTCCGATTTGCACGATTGGCTACATACGGTGTGACAGAAGTTCAACATACATATGCTTTTCTTTCTTAGGATCAATTATACAGGGTTTTTTCAACTTGGAAGCTCTTCGTAGAAAAAAAAACTGCATGAATGGTGTTGTGCTTATGTGATATCTGCAGTTTTATTGCCTATATCCGTGTAGTGCTTGGCAAGCACGATATATACCAAGAGGAGGCTGGTGCAAATGCTTCAGAAGTCTACCTGTCGATTTACCATTCACAATATACCCCTCTAGCCTTCAGTAAGTTTTACGCATTTCATGTGTCACTAGTCCCATCAAAACAAACGCAGTGAACACATGCTTACATAATGTTAACAAGATGTACGTAACTTTTTCACAAACACGTTTTTGTTTAAATGGTAGACCAGCAGAAGTATTCGTCATTGAACATTGTGTGTCCACGTCAACCATGGTCTTCTCTTGAGGTTGTCTCCAGTCCTGCGGTAGTGCCGCCATTGAGAATGGGCGCAGGCCTCTGGTGCGATCTGCCGAGGCGTCCGCAGGGCAGCTTTCCCGAACAGGCGAAGTCTCCCGAGCCTGACCATCTCAGTCACCACCGGAGATGCTGTTTGAAGACACCACCGGTGGAATGCATTCAGTCAGCAGTACACATCTCTGTGTGGTGCCACAGCAATGGAGCAACTCCGTCGGCGCTGCCATCCCCTCGCACCCCTCCACATGAACGCACGCACACCCCCACTAAACACACACACGCACCCACGTAGGGTCTCGTGGGGGGGTCACCTGGTACCATGGGTTTTTACCGAGGGGCCCCAAGTGGGGATGTCCCATGGTTTCCCGATGCCAGGAGATTGGCCGCCCCCCCCAGGCCAAATTGCATTGCGGCCCCCGTGAATTAGCTGAAAATTATATGGGCACGACGGAGCTCACTGAGCTAACCATAATGAGACACTCACTGTACAGGTAAGGGGCCAGGGGGGAGTAAATGTTACGCGGGCAGCGCAGACGAGGAGGTGGGAGGGAAATTCCTGGACTGACTGCAGCTGCGAAAGCCGCGGGACGTTGTGGGAGGACGGGGGCGTAGACAATGGATCGAGGCGTAATGGGAAGCAACGCTTCATGTAAGGGGCGGGGGGCATCAGTTTAAAATCGAAAGATAGGCGCCCGATTGGCCGCGCAGGATAACACCACGTGACCCTGGATCTTTGGATTCCGTGGCATAAAAGGGAGGGAAAAAAAGGTTGAGCAGTTCTCCTACAGCCAGTCCGACTCCCAGCCGCGCAGCGTCCGAGCGACGCTGGCGAGTTCGGCTACAACTCGACCCCAGGCAGAGACCTCTCGTACCCTCGTTCCTCCGACTCCCACCGCGTAAGTATGACCCCGTGAGTACGTACGCGCGGTAAGAAGTAGAGAGAGGGTACACTCAGGGATTGAATAGGGATAGGCTAGGCGCTGCTCGTTGAGTATTTACTCCGAGCCGCACAGGGCTTGCTATAGACGAGCTATTAATAAACTTTAGCACAGAGCACCGGCGCCGCGCGATTTCTGTGTGTGTGGGAGAGTGTCGGTGTGGTGCGTAATTCGAGCGTGTGTGTGGGAGGCACGCGGGCAGTAATTTATTAACGGCTCCTGCGTCCGTGCAGGCAGGGCACAATTAATGGGGCGAGGGAGGGGTGAGTTAAAACCCGTTCGCGTGCGTGTTTACACAGCGCGTTTTACGCAGTGTGTTTATGTAGCGACAATAGCATTTAGCGGTGGGACGCGCGTGCATTACTAAATTTATGGCCGTCATTGTTTACGCGTGCTCACACTCCCATGCGTGTTTGCAGCAGTGGATTAAGGCCGACCCACAGGAGGGGGGAGGGGGGCGTGCATATTGATACGGTTATTTTTAGCGCGAGCCGTGGTGAGTGACGTGCGCCTACGCGTGCACGCAGCCACCTCCGGATTAGTGGTGGTGTACGTGGGGAGTGTGTGTGGGATAACTCCGGGCGGTGAGGATCCAGCTACTTAGCCATGTACCTCAGAGAAGGCACTGGTGCGGGGGGGCCGATCACCCGATCAGCGGGGGCCCGGCAAGAAGTGGCTGAGGAGGAGGGGGGAGAGGAGGAGGTGGGCGTCAGCCTGTTCTATATGCCCGGTATGAAAATTTGATGAAAATAATAAAAATTAAATGAAATTTGTGAAAATTAGTAATAATCCGAATTTATGCTAATTTGTGTAATTATGCGCACATATTATGCTAATTCAAGAGATAATCGTATTCATTTAAGCGAATGTATGTGATTATGCTAATTGATGCAGTTATGATAATTAGGATAAACCTCGTTTTTGAGGGTAGTATTATCCATCGGGATTGTACAATTAATCATGTGAAGTTATGCAGGTGTGCTATAAGTATGCCAGATTAAACTCGGCTTCGTTGACCAAGGTTAGTATTATTGATCGGTATAATACAATTATTCTCGCTTTAACATTTACTGATTATGTATTAGTGTGTTATGTCAGGTCTCCAAATTCAAATCTCACTGCAGGATACAGTTCTTATTATTAAGATTATCACGCATGAACTCAGGAAAGAAACACTCAAACACTTCTGTGTTAAGCAATTTTAATTTCTAAACAAAACCTTAACACTATAATATGCGAACTCTCATGCTTGGAATTACCCCCGGTACGATCGGGGAATTTTCCCTCAGGGAGCAGTACATTTAACCATCAATGATTGCGTTGTTTCACTTTGGCAACCGCACATATGATTAATTCCACCGCGTAACACGAGCTTAGTTGGTGATAGGGAGAGTCTTTAAAACAGGCATGCCAAGATGTTCTAAACAAATACCTTAAAGCGAATTATTATACCCCAAAAGCAAAAGTATACGTCAATAGATTAATCGGCAAGATTATGCAATTAAAAAGAAAAGAAAAAAACGAACGACTAAGATATTTCTAAATGACCGTATCCACTTAACTCAATGGGCAGCAATGTTCTTCACGATCAGTTGATATTGAATGCACCTCATCGGAATGGCAACCCTTCTTGATTTGTCCCTATATGCGTGTTGTGTGTCTTCGTAAAGCACATGCCGGGTGATGCGTCGTGAGGGTGTGAGTGTGGGGGAGGGTCATACAAACTGCTTCGTTCTCGCTCTTGCTCGGGGCGTCGGCTTAGCTGCCCGTCCGCTGGCAGATACAGACTCTTTCCACTGCTGGAGGGGCTGCGCCGCATGCCCCTCTCCTTGAAGATGCTCGATTGCGCTCACCGCTGGTTCGCTGACACTCTTGCTCACGGGCAGCTGGTCAGGCTCTTTCTCCTGCTGGATGAGCCGAGTCGGCACAACGCTTGTTCGCTGGCAGCTGGCACCCTTGCTTGGTGGAGCTGGTTGCGCTGGTTGCGCTGGTTGCGCACTCTCTCCTGCTGCGAGCTCTGGGGCCAGGGAATTGGCCAACTTCCCCCAGGTTGAATTACACTGCGGAGCCGTGAATTGACGTGCAATTGCATGGTCACGACGAGGCGACTCAGTCACCGCAGTTAGGACACACACAGCACGGCAGGTAGGAGGGGAAGGGGCCACGAACGATGGGCTAAGAACACACAGGAGGCAGGATCAGCCGGGTATGTGTCTGATTGGCTGGCAGGTTAGGGTCCTGAAGGTCCACACGAGCACCAGGGGAAGCATC